ACGTCCACTTTGAGTCTTACAGTCTCCATCTTTTTATTGTAATGGTCTCTAGTCCATCAGACTTTGAGGAAGGGCTAAGCTGAAATCAATCCAGGAAGAAGTCAGAAGTTGTCCTGCTCCCCTCAGTGAGTGTGTCCTGGAATGAGCTATCCGCTGAGCCTATGCAGAGCCCCCTTCACCTCTTGATTCTTGAGGCTGTGTGGATGATGGAGTTGACCATGGGAATGAATGCCATGTATAGGACGGAGAAGATCTTTCGAAGCAAGGGGGACGTGTGGTCTGTTGGGGCCACATAGACCAGGAAGGTGCCATAAAATAGCCCATCTATGCTGAGGTGGGAGGAACAGGTGAAGAAGGCTTTCTGCCTCTCATGGCTTGATGGTATTTGCAGTACAGGCCTCAGAATAAAGGCATAGGATGCCACCATCAGTAGGAAGGGAGCCAGTGTCAGGAAGCCTGAGATGCTGACTTCAGCCCCCCACAGGACACCCTACAGAATGGCACTACTGTTGGGGCAAAGTCACAGGAATAGTGGCCAATTTCCCTGCTGCCAGGACAGAGGTGCTGCCAGGGCCAGAGTGAAGGCAGAGGAGAAAAAGCCACTGAACCAAGCACCAGTGGCCAGGCAACTACAAAACCAGGTGCTCATCAGGGCAGGATAGTGAAAGGGGCGTCAGATGGCCAAGTAACAGTCATAGGACATGGCAGAGAGTAGGAGGCACTCAGCTGCAGCCAGTGAGGAAAACACGTAGAACTGGCCCAGATAGCTGACTAGTGAGATGACTTCCCTCCCCACCAGAATACTCTGCAATGGCTGCAGTATGATGTTGGAGGAATAACCAGTCTCCAGCTGGGAGGAGTGGCAGAGGAAGAAGCACATTGGTGTGTGGAGTGTCCGACTAGAGGCCACAGCCAGCACGATGAGAGCATTGTCCCTGATTGTCACCACATAGATGGCCAGGAAGAGAGTGAAGGGAAGGAAGCCCAGGTGTTGCAGCTCCTCGAAGCCCACTAGGATCAGCCAGGTAGGCTGGTTCCCACTGTCACCACTTGACTGCTTCTTCTTCCAGCTCTGATCTCAAGAGAAGAGAGGAAGGTAGTTAATATTTTCTAAGATCCTATTATGGGCACACTCCATGCTTGGCTTATCCATTTATTCATCACAGCACACACTGGAGACAGGCCTTATTGTCTCCCAGCTGTGGAAGAGAAACAGACCTGGTTTGTTCAAGTCAATTATTCATTGCCATTATGATGGAGTCATGATGTGAAACCAGATTTGCCTGACTCTAAGGCTCCTGAATGGTCTACTGTTCTACAGTGCTTTCTCAACCTGTTCCACCCACCTTCCTTTTTCTTTTTTTTTTTTTTTCAGATAGGGTCTTACCCAGATTAGAGTGCAGTGGTGCAGTCACAGCTCACTGCAGCCTCGACTTCCTGGGCTCAAGCCATCCTCCCACCTCCGCCTCCCAAGTTGCTGGGACTGTAAACACATGCCACCATGCTTGGCTACTTTAAAAACTTTTTTTTTTTTTAAATAGAAGGCTGGGTGCGGTGGCTTATGCCCATAATCCCAGCACTTTGGGAGGCCAAGGTGGGCAGATCACAAGGTCAAGAGATCAAGACCATCGTGGCCAACATGGTGAAACCTCGTCTCTACTGAAAATACAAACATTAGCTGGGCATGGTGGCATGTGTCTATAGTCCCAGCTACTTGGGAGGCTGAGGCAGGAGGCGGAGGTTGCAGTGAGCTGAGATTATGCCACTGCACTCCAGCCTGGAGACAGAGCGAGACTGCGTCTCAAAACACAAATAAACAAAAACAAATAGAAATGAAGTCTCCTTATGTTGTCCACGCTGGTCTCAAATTTTTGGGCTCAAGTGATTCTCTCAAAGTTCTGGGATTATAGGCATGAGCCACTGGACCCAGCCCCAAATGCTTTTTAAGTGATAGAAATCAAAATCAAAGAGCAGCATAATATTCTTCCGGTCGGCAGGGAGCTATTTACCTGGCAGTCCTGGCTGGGCACCAACAGGAGGACCACAAGTGGTGAACTGTGGAAGGGTGGGAGGTGCGCCCATCACCTCCAGGGGAGTTTGTCCTATTCTGAAGTCAGGCACATCCCTGAGGCTGTCACTCATCTCAGACTATTTTTTCTTTCCAAGAAATCGTGACGTGGAAATCCAGTTGAGCAATCTACAGCATCTATTCAGTGAGGTATGCAACACAGAAAGGTCTGAATTAACCCAGATCCCACTCCCCTGGGAAACCACTCTTTCTCCTTGGACAGGTGGCCTGGTGACCCTTGGTAAAGCCATTTCCAAACTTTGCCCAATCTCTGATCAGTTTGTTGGAATCTGGAAACACTCTGTTTTTCTTGGTTCTCCTGCCTTATATTTTCCATACAGGTCAAATGCTCAGTTTATCTTAACTGTGGGTTCTTTAGAAACTTCTCTTCTGATACAGGTTTCCTTCTCTCAGTTATTGCAGCACTACCTTCACACCAAATGCATAGGAGGATCTTGTGGAATGAATAAATGAATTCCAACAGCAAATTGCCATGAAAAACTTGCAGCATCTGACAGTTAATGCTAGAGTCAGACAAAGAGACATTTAAGTGACTACTAAAAGAGAGGAGGAATCATTGGTCATCCCCTATAGTTGAGGGAATATTGGAAGCTTGAGATAGAATCATGAATAAGAATGGATATGGAAGTAAAAAAATATGTGTGTGTAGGAGGAAGAAACCAGAAAGCTCAATGTGATAGAGAGTTTTCTGACTTTTGAAATTAAGAAAGATGACATCTCACATTTGCAGATGGCAATGAGAATAGAGGGTTTTTGTGTTTCTGGCCTGATTCTACCTTTCTTCTGGCTTTGGGCTTCCATCATGAAGACCCACATTCAGTTATATGGGGATACAGACACAGAACAAACTGAATGTTTTCATACGTATTTGAACATATTCTGTCCTTTATATACTAATGATTTCTTAAAGAGCGAAGGAGTGACTTGAATTGAGAGTGAAATAGGATTCTGGGTTTAGCAGAGACATGGAGCAAAGGAAGAAACTAATGAAACTAACCAAACCAACCAATCAGTCAACTGACCTGAAACTTCTCAAGTCCACTCTGAGCCAATGCTTATAATTACAAACTTAGAAGCACTGCCCTTGCTGACCAGGGAATTTTACTTTGATCCCTGGTAAAATTCTCAAATAGATGCTTCATAGACTAGCTGGAAGTCCTGTAAGGGATCACCAGGATCTTTGTAATGCTGATCCTAATGTAAAACCTCATATAATGTATTTTACTGACAGTTTTAATACTTTAACAATTAGGAGAAAGGAGCAGAGAAAGGGCATATTAATCTTAGTAAAGATTCACAGAAAGGATGATGGCTGTGTGGTTAGAGATAATGCTTTTAGTTTGGTTACCATATACCAAAATTATTCATTAATGACTAAAAAGCTGAAGAAATCTGTCTGCTGAAAAGGAGGTGTAGATCTTATCTTTGTCACCTATTTTTAGCAATAACTTCAATAGACATAGTAAGTATACAAGGCACGTCAAACTTCAGATGATATGAAAGAGGGAAAGTCAATATTATAGGTGACAATTGTAATTCAAAATAATCTTGCCTTTGGAATGCCAAACTAAAAACAAGATGGATTTTAACAGAGGCACATATAAACTCTGCATGTAGATTTTAACAACCGGTTACACAAGTATAGGAAGGGTAAGACCCAATTTAATAGTCATTTATGTGAAAATAATTTAGGCTTGTTCTTGACTATCATGAATCAGGGCTTGAAAACTGTGAAATACAAGGGATGTATGAAGAATGTAGGGATGTTGACTCTGGAAAAGGCAAAATGAATGGAAGAATACGATAACTGTTTTCAAATATTCAAGAGACTCTTATAAAGAAGAGAGATTATATTTAGTCTACAGAACAAGGACCAAGGGTGTGGTGGTGCTGGAAAACCCATCACTACTCATCTGTGCTGACTTCCTAGAGGTGATTCTTAAGGGGCTAACTATTGTTATTTACTGGATTTTGGGGAGGGGGGGTATGAAAATAAGATAAGGCTCAGGGGACAGGGTCAGTGTGGGTGAAATGGAATTTCTAGAACCTCCAGAAGTTTGTTGGCAAATATGGGCCTCATCCACAGAAACTCCTGGAGCAAACATAAGACATTTAAAAAATACGATAAGCTCTCTTCCATATGTTTAGTTTGGGTCAGTGGTGGTCCTCTCTGTAGGCAAAGAGTAGTGTTGACCCAGATGAACTCCAGATACTGAGGCTCAGTGGAGACGGGGATGGACCTGCTTTGGGCTTGGAGTCAACTTCTCTCCTGGACATCTTTACCCCTAGACTAAATTCTTCTGCCAGCTGCCAGCTCTGCAGACTTTGTGAGCCCTTCAGGATAAACTAGTTGTAAATGTACTTATAGATGACTACATGAACTAGTATTCTCAATAAGGCTGTTAGCTAAATCCAGTAAGATGTTGGATGATATGTAATAAAAATAAAGTTTGGCTTTGGAATAACTGATGATCCTGAGCCATCCTTCATGAAGATAATCAGAAAACCAAGCCAATTGTCTTTCAAGACTAGTCTTAGATCATGATAAAAAACATGTGTCAACAATACATACACATTATAATAACTCTGCTGTTAAAATTTATTTCTAGCTTTTTATATGCACTTTTCATATAGCTATAATTATTATATGTACAATTTGAATCCTGATATTTTACCTAATATTATAAGCACGTTATATATCCCACATTAAAAATAATGATATAATAATCATTATGTAGCTCTAGCAGAATTTGCCTAACCATTTTTTTCATGGAATCTTTGGGTTGGGAGTGACTGTAAACTATATATAGGCCAACATTTCACTAAGAGGGGAGGTTATTTGTTCTCTTTATATATATTTTAATTGAAAAGAAGACAGTATCTTTTTAGGGCATCTCAGTGTTTCAACAAATTAAAAATTTAAAAACATTTATTTATTTTAACATTATTTGGGCAATGAATCATAGTTGCATACATTTATGGGATACAATTTAATGATATATGTATAAATGTGGCAGAATTAAATTAAGCTAATTAACATATCCATCATTTCACTTACCTATCTTTTTTTTATGGTGGGACATTTGACATTTACATCCTATTTGTATTATTATTATTGACCATATTCACCCCACTGTTGCAATAGATCCCAAGACTTACTCTTCCTACCTGAAACTTTGTACCCTTTGATCAACAATTCCCACCCTTCTCCCCAAACTCTCGTAACCATCCTTCTACGTTCTACTTCTATGAGATTAACTTTATTAGATTTTACATATAAATGAGATCATAAAATAGTTGTCTTTTTGTGCCTGGCTTATTTCACTTAGCACAATGTCCTACAGATTCATCCATGTTGTTGCAAATGATAGGGTGTTCACCACTTTTTTTTTTTTTTAAATTCTTGGCAGGCTCAAAACACCCACTTTTAAGGCTGAATAGTATTCTATTGTGTATATATGTTACATTTTCTTTATCTGTTCATCTATTGATGGACACTTAGGTTGTTCTCACATCTTGACTATTGTGAATAATGTTGCAATGAACAGAACACAGCTATTCCTTTGACATACTTGTTTCAGTTCCTTTGGATATGCAGAAGTGGGACTAATGGGTTGTATGGTAATTCTATTTTTAGTTTTTTGAGGAAACTCCATATCATTTTTCATAATGGGTGTACTAAGTTGTATTTTCACCATCAATGTATAAGAGTTCCCTTTTCGGAATGCATCCAGATCCCAAGGACACTCACATCATCATCAGCTGGATGATCACACAGACTGTCACTGCTATTGCTGGGTTGACTTCCTATCCATTTGACACTGTTCGCTGCCACAGGATGATGCAGTTGGGGCACAAAGGAACTGACATCATGTACACAGGCATGCTTGACTGCTGGAGGAAGACTGCTTGTGATAAGGAGGCAAAGCTTTCTTCAAGGGTGCATGGTCCAATGTTCTCAGAGGCATGGGTGGTGCTTTTTTGCTTGTCTTGTATGATGAAATCAAGAAGTACATGTAAGTTATTTCCTAGAAATTTCCCCCTGTGAACAGGCATGTTGTATTATATAGCGTATCTTGAGCATTCTTGACAGACTCCTGGCTGTCAGTTTATCAGTGGCAACTATTTACTGATTGAAAATGTGAAGCAATAATATTCATCTGACCAGTTTTCTCATAAAGCCATTTCCATGATGATGATGATGGGACTCAATTATATTTTTATTTCAGTCACTCCTGATAACAAATTTAGAGAAATAAAAAATCTAGGGCCGGAAGTGGTGGCTCATGCTTGTAATCCCAGCACTTTGGGAGGCCAAGGCAAGCGGATCATGAGGTCAAGAGATCAAGACCATCCTAGCCAACATTGTGAAACTCCATCTCTACTAAAAATACAAAAAATTAGCTGGGCATGGTGGCACATGCCTGTAATCCCAGCTACTGAGGAGGCGAGGCAGGAGAATTGCCTGAACCCAGGAGGCGGAGGTTGCGGTGAGCCGAGATCGCACCATTGCACTCCAGCCTGGGTAACGAGAGCGAAACTCCGTCTCAAAAAAAAAAAAAAAAAAAAAACCTAGAAAAAAAAGTTCCCTTTTTTCCACATCCAACACTTGTTATCTTTCATCTTTTTTATAAAAGTCATTCTAACAAGTATGAAGCAATATCTCATTGTGGTTTTAATTCCATTTCCCTCATAATTAGTGATGCTGAGCAGTTTTTCATGTATTTATTGGTCATTTATATGACTTTTGAGAAATGTCTGTTCAGGTCCTTTGCTCATTTTTTAATTGGGTTAACTTATAAATAAACGTTTCGGAGCTCCACACATTAGGCCTTATTGGATGATCAAGACACAGGATCTGCCTGCAGATTAACTATGGTACAGTATGGAGTATGTGATGACTACTACAAAAGAGCTATATAGTTTATTGAGAAGGCTTAAGGGAAATTAACGGAGAGAGTGGAATATGCACTAGAATTTAAAACATAGTAAAGGTTTTGGAAAGTTAAAAATGAGGGTAAGTGTCTTCAGCTTCCACCCATGGAGGAATGACTGGTACCAGTCCAGTTCTCCTGATGTAAACAACTACAAAATGGACAACATATAAAATATCTGTATTCAGCTATTGGAAAACGTATAGCACAGAACTGTAATCCCTTAGAGAAGGGAAATAGTTGAGGTGGGCCCTCATCACGTTAGTTTTTCTGTCTTGACACGCTTTTCAGACCTGGACTCTGGGAGGGGTAAGTTGAGAAGACAGAGATCAGAGTTTGGAGAGGCAGAGATTGTTTGAATTTGTAGGGCAGAAGAGGAGGGAGGTAGAGTGAGAAAGAATTTCAGAAACCTATGTAGAAATCTCATGGGACTTTGGCTGAATATTACTAGGAGCTGTAAGTTAAGTAAGATAGAACTCATACAGAATGGGAGATGTTAGAGTTCCAACCATCCAGGTTGGAGAGATCTCATTGAAAACTTGACATTCAGCAGATACCTCGGGAAGGTATAAATATAATTAGGTCTAGGTATAAATCAGTCCAAGAATAAAAGCTAATCTAGACCTGTTTAACAAAACTAAAAATGAAGCTTGAAATTATTAAGCTGAACCTTAAGTATCTTAACTGTCTACTAGAACAAGGCCAAAACTCTTGAAAGAAGACAACAAAAGGCTGGGCATGGTGGCTCATGCCTGTAATCCCAGCACTTTGGGAGGCTGAGGTGGGTGGATCATTTGAGGTCAGGCATTCAAGACCAGCCTGGCCAAGATGCTGAAACCCCGTCTCTAAAAAATAACAACAAAAAAAGAAAGACAACAAATCTAAAATCCAGACACCCAACAACAGAATATCCATAATGTCTAGCATCTAATAAAGCAATTAATAGAAATACAAAGAAGCAGATAAATGTGACCACTAATCAGAGAAAAATAATAAAGGACATCAGCACGATGGCAGGATAAAAAATCCCAGATCCTTTCTTCCATGAGAACATGAACTTAACAATATATAAACCTACCTGAAAAATCCAGAAACCAGTTAATAGGTTCTTGCACCCTAATTGAGTGTGAAGCCAACCCCATCAAAACCTAGCAGGAAAATTTGTGGCATTCACTCATCAGAGCCCTTCCCTCTGGCATGGCATGATATCATATGGAGGAAACCTCCAACTGTCGACTTCTTTCTGGGAAGGCAAAGGAGTGAAATGTAAATCCAACATTCTGATTTTTGGAGGTGCTACTGAGGGAGCTGCCTAAATTTAAGCACTGACCTGAACAGGGCTCAGGTTGGGGCTGGTTAAGAGCAAAGGTGATCAAGGTGGTTTGGTCTAGCACCAGAGTCTGCAGTACCATAGACAAACACTAGGTGGAACTCCAGTACCGCAGCTTTCTACAAGCAGCCGTGTTGCAGACGGACACAAGAGCTCCCGAGTAGAAACTGGCAAATGTTTCATCACGTTGGCCAGGCTGGTCTCCAACTCCTGACTTCGTGATCCAAAAAAAAAGAAAAGAAAAAAGAAAGAAACTGGCAAATGTGAAGCAAATGCACATATCCATCATCTCGTGCAGTTACTCATGGTTTTTGTGTTTGTGGCAAGGGCAGCTAAAAATCTCATTTAGCTTGAATCCCATAGAGAGTACAATTTTATTACCTATAATCCTCATGTTGTACATTTGATCTGTAGGCTTGTTCATTCTACATATCTACCACTTTGCATTCTTTGATGTACATCTCCTCATTTCCTACTCACCCCTGCCCCTGGTAACCAGTGTTTTGTTCTGTAAGAAATGGACTTTAACTATAAATTTGAACATAAGTCTGTGCCATGGAAATTGATTATCATAAGAATGTACTTGTCAAGGAGGTGATTGAAGTAAAACGACAACAATAACAACGAAAGCTGTAGTGGTTGTATTCATGTAAGACAAAATCGAGTTCCAAGCAAGACATTTGCTAAGAACAAATAAGGATTTGCATAATGATAACGAGTTGAATTCAAGAAGGCAGAACAATCTGAAATGTGCATGGACTCAATAACAGAGCTTCAAAATGGAGCGAATGAGGGAAAAACTGATAAAGCTGAAATGATTACAGTTGGGTATTTCAACATTCTTCTCTCAACTTCTGACTATGCGATGAGTAGTCAGAAAATCAGTAGGTATGTAGAAAATTTACAAAACATTATCAACCAACTTGATGTGATTGACATTTATAGTACACTTCATGAATAACAGCAAGAAACACATTCTCACCAAAATAGACCATATACTGGGCTATAAAACAAGACAATAAATTTCAAAGAATTGGTATAAAGCTGAATATTTTCTATTACTACAAGGGAAGTAAATTAGAAATAAAGAACAATAAAATATCTAGAATTTAAGCAACATACTTTTATATTGTTATTATAATTTTTTTTGAGATAAAGTTTCACTCTTGTTGCCCAGGTTGGAGTGCAATGGCATGATCTTGGCTCACTGCAACCTCCCCCTCCTGGGTTTAAGTGATTCTCCTGCCTCAGCCTCCCAAGTAGCTGAGATTACAGATGTCCGCCACCATGCCCGGCTAATTTTTATATATTTAGTAGAGACAGTGTTTCATTATGGTGACGAGGCTGGTCTTGAACTCCTGACTTTGTGTAATCCATCCACCTTGGCCTCCCAAATTGGTCACAGTCCTGAGCCACTGCACCCAGCCATTATTATGATTTTTTAAGAGACAAGAGTCTCACTCTGTTGCCTAGGCTGGAGTGCAGTGGTGTGATCATAGCTCACTATAACCTCAAACTCCTGGCCTCAAAAATCCTCCTGTCTTAGCCTCCTGAATGGCTGGGACTAGAGACAGGTGCCACTATACCTGGATAGTTTAATTTAATCCAATTTATTTATTTATTTATTTTGTGGAGACAAGGTCTTGCTATATTGCCCAGGCTGGTCTCAAACTCCTGGCCCCAAACAATTCTCCTGCCTTGGCCCCACAAAGTGCTGGGATTACAGGCATGAGCCACTGTGCCTGGCATGCAACATATGTTTAAATAACCCATGGGTAAAGGAAGAAATCACAAGGGAAATTAGAAAATATTTTGAACTAAGTGATAATAATTGCATAACATATCAACAATTGTGAGATGCAGCTAAATGAGTGCTTAGAAGAAACTTTGTCTTTAAATGATTATGTTAGTTAGAAAGATAAATATTTAAAACCAATACTTAAAGCTTCTACTTTAAAAAGCTATATCAGGAAGAGCAAGATAAACTCAGAGTAAATAGAACAAAGAAAAGAATAAAGAATGAAAATCAATGAATATAAAGGAGAAAAACCAATAATACAAAAATCAGTTTTCAAAAATTTGAGACAGGATATTTTTCTGTCATTCAGGCTGGAATGCAGTGGTGTGAGCATGGCTTACTGCAGCCTCAACCTCTTGGGCTCAGGAGATTCTCCCACCTCAGTCTTCCAGGTAGCTGGGACTGCAGACATACACCACCATGCCTGGCTAATTATTTTTATTTTTTGTAGAGTCAGGGTTTCTCTATGTTGCCCAGGGTAGTCTTTTGGACTCCTGGGCTCAAGTGGTCTGGCTTCCGAAAGTGCTGTGATTACAGGCAAAAAATTAGCTCTTTGAAAAAAATCAATGCGATTGATAAATTGACTTAAAAAAAACCCAAACACACATTATTGATACCAAAAAATAAGAGGTGGCATCCCTACAGACATTACAATAATTAAAGGCAATATTATGACAAACTTATGCCAATACACTTGAAAATTTAAGTAAAATTTAAAAATTACTTGAAAGATGCTAATGACCAGAACTGACACAAGAATTTATACAAATCTGAATAACCCTGTATCTATAAAAGAAATTAAATTTATAATTGCTGTAGTTTGGTAGACTCAGCCATTCCAGTCTGTTGGTTTTGGAGACTATAAAGTCTGGATAAGGAAAGGTCCCTCACAGTGCACAAAGCCACCTCGCCAGACTGTGGTCAGACTGCTGCTGCTGCTGCTGCTGCTTTTCTTTTTTCTTTTTTTTTTTTTTTTGATTTGGAGTTTTGCTCTTATTGCCCAGGCTGGAGTGCAGTGGCACCATCTTGGTTCACTGCAACCTCCACCTCCTGGGTTCAAGTGATTGTCTTGCCTCAGCCTCCTGAGTAGCTGAGATTACAGGCACCCACCACCACTCCTGGCTAATATTTTGTATTTTTAGTAGGGATTGGGTTTCATCATGTTGGCCAGGCTGGCCTCAAACTCCTGACTTCAGGTGATCCACCCTCCTTGGCTTCCCAAAGTGTTGGGATTACAGATGTGAGCCACTTGCCTGGCCCTCTGGCTGCTTTTTTAAGCAGGACCCCAATCCATTCTTCCTCACTGGGTGGAACCTCCCTGCAGGGGTTCACACTCCAGCCAGGGTTCTACAGAACAAGCTCTGATCTCTTCCTGGGATAGGACCCTTACGGGGAGGTGCAGCTGCCATCTTTGTGGTTTGATTGACCCAGTCTGTTCCAGCCTGCTGGCTTTGGAGAATACAAACAGTCCAGACAAGGAAGGGCAGCACACCTACTCTACCAAAAAGCAATCAGATTGCTTCTGATCCCATTCCTCCTGACTGGGTGAGCCCTCCCAACAGGGGTCTCCAGGCATCTCCTACCAGCATGTTTGGGCCAGCAACAGGTCAGTAAGTACCTGGAATGAAGTTTCCAGAGGAAGAAACTGGCTGCCATCATTGTTGTTTTACAGCCTTTCCTGGTGATACTTCTAAGTACAGGAAAACACAAGGCAACTAGGGTCTGGAGTGGACCTCCAGCAAACCACAGCAGCCTGACTGTTAAGATAAAAACAAAGAGACAATGTACCACAATCTCTGGAACACCGCTAAAGCAGTTTAAGAGGGAAATTTACAGCACTAAATGCCCACATCAAAAACTAGAAAGACATCAAATTAACAACATAACAAGTCAACTAAAAGAACTAGAGAAACAAGAGCAAACAAATCCCAAAGCTAGTGGAAGACAAGAAATAACAGAGAGGACTCAAGATGGCGCTGTGAGAACAACCCAGGATTGGAGTTCTCGTGTCTGCGGAGAGGTGAGTCTGAGCTGCATTTCCAGACTGATCTTTGTTGCTCACCGAACGGGGAAATTCCCAAGTGAAGAGGAGACGCGGGACGCCAGGCAGATATTCCGCCTGGCGAAGCCGGCAGCCGGGGTGGCGGCGGCCGGCCCTACCCAGCGCTCCCCACAGGGCGCACTTGTCCGGGTGCCCCGTTGAACCAGCAACTGGAGACGTGAGAGGGCTGGACTTGAGACTGAGCTAGACTTGAACAGTGGGCCAGCCCAGGGGATTGCAGGAACAGAGCGTTAGGATTGGCCCAGTGGGACGAACAAAACCGCGATTTCAAACAAGCCCCGTGCAGACGGCCCGAGACGCTCTGAGGGGGAGGGGCGGCCACCATTACCGAGGTAACCCGCCCCAACTGAGATACACGCCCATTGCTGACGCAGCCAGCCGTTGCCGAGGCAACCCGTCCCTACTGAGATACACGCCCACTGCTGACGCAGCCAGCCGTTGCCGAGGCAACCCGTCCCTACTGAGATACATGCCCACTGCTGACGCAGTCTGCCGTCGCCGAGGCAACCCGCTACAACAGAGAGACTCCGCCGCAGGGCGTGGCGGAGAACAGCAGAACAGCGGAGTCAGGGCGAGCCTCACAACAGCAGGGCGGAGCCTCGGCAGGCAAACAGTGGCTAGTCTGCATCCTAGCTGGGCAGGACCTCAACGGACATCCAAAAATAAAGCCCAAACCCCTCAACACAGAACATTTGAGAAAAAAAAGGGTTTTTTTTAATGAGCTCTGTTGCAGCAGAATCAAACATAGCAGCCTAACAGCCCTGAATGAACAACACAGCTCACAGCTCAGCAATTAAAACCCTATAAAGTACAAACTGTCTCCTCAAGCAGCTCCCTGACCCCTCTATATCCAAAAGACTGACATTAGGCAGGCACCATCCTGGGACAAAGATAGCAGAAAAAGAAACTGGTAGCACCCTCGCTGTGCCACAGCTTCTAGAGGTGCACCCCAGACAAGCAGGGTCTGGAGCGGACCTCAGCACTCGTACAGCGAAGGGGCTAGACCGGTAGAAGGAAAACCAAGCAACAGAAATACTTCATCATCAACATTCAGGGTGTCCACTCAGAGACCCAATCGAAAAGTCAGCAACTACGCAGACGACCAGTGGACAAATCCGCAAAGATGGGAAGAAACCAGCGCAAAAAGGAGGAAAACACCCGAAACCAGAACACCTCGCCTCCTAGAAAGGACCAAAACTCCTCACCAGCAAGGGAACAAAGCTGGACGGAGAATGACTGTGACGAAATGACGGAATTAGACTTCAGAAGATGGATAATGAGAAACTTTGGTGAGCTAAAAGATCATGTATTAAATCAATGCAAAGAAACTAAGAACCTTGAGAAAAGATTTGAAAAAAGATTTGAGGAAATGATAACAAGAATGGATAACTTAGAGAGGAATATGAATGAATTAAAGGAGCTGAGAAACACAATACGAGAACTTCGCGAAGCATGCACAAGTTTCAATAGCCGAATTGACCAAGCAGAAGAAAGAATATCTGAAGTCGAAGACCAACTCAATGAAATAAAACGAGAAACCAAGACTAGAGAAAAAAACTCAAAAAGGAATGAACAAAGTCTCCAAGAAATGTGGGACTATGTGAAAAGACCTAACCTACGTTTGATAGGTGTACCAGAAGGGGACGAAGAGAATGAATCCAAGCTGGAAAATACTCTTCAGAACATCATCCAGGAAAATTTCCCCCACCTAGCAAGACAGGCCAACACTCAAATGCAGGAAATTCAGAGAACACCACAAAGATATTCCGCAAGAAGAGCAACCCCAAGGCACATAATCGTCAGATTCAATAGGGTTGAAATAAAGGAGAGAATACTAAGGGCAGCCAGAGAGAAAGGTCGGGTCACCCACAAAGGGAAGCCCATCAGACTCACAGCAGATCTCTCGGAAGAAACACTACAAGCCAGAAGAGAGTGGGGGCCAATATTCAACATTCTTAAAGAAAAGAACTTTCAACCCAGAATTTCATATCCAGCCAAACTGAGCTTCAGAAGTGAAGGAAAAATAAAATCCTTTGCGAACAAGCAAGTACTCAGAGATTTTGTCACCACCAGGCCTGCTTTACAAGAGCTCCTAAAAGAGGCACTACACATAGAAAGGATCAACCAGTACCAGCCATTCCAAAATCACACTGAATGCTAAAGAGCATCAACATAATGAAGAATCTACAACAACTAACAGGCAAAATAGCCACTTAGCATCAAAATGGCAGTATCAAATTCACACATAACAATATTAACCCTAAATGTAAATGGACTAAATGCACCAATCAAAAGACACAGACTGGCAAATTGGATAAAAAGCCAAAACCCATCAGTGTGCTGTATCCAGGAAACCCATCTCACATGCAAGGATACACAAAGGCTCAAAATAAAGGGATGGAGGAAGATTTACCAAGCAAATGGAAAGCAAAAAAAAGCAGGAGTTGCAATTCTCATCTCCGATAAAATAGACTTTAAAGCAACAAAGATCAAAAGAGACAAAGAAGGCCATTACATAATGGTAAAAGGATCGATACAACAAGAAGAGCTAACGATCCTAAACATATATGGACCCAATGCAGGAGCACCCAGATACATAAGGCAAGTTCTTAAGGACTTACAAAAGGACTTAGACTCCCACACAATAATAGTGGGAGACTTTAACACTCCACTGTCAATACTAGACAGATCAACCAGACAAAAAATCAACAAGAATATCCAGGGCTTGAACTCAGACCTGGAGCAAGCAAACCTGATAGACATTTACAGAACTCTCCACCCCAAATCCACAGAATACACATTCTTCTCAGCACCACATCACACCTACTCTAAAATGGACCACATAATTGGAAGTAAAGCACTGCTCAACAAATGCAAAACAACTGAAATCATAACAAACAGCCTCTCAGACCATAGTGCAATCAAGTTAGAACTCAGAATTCAGAAACAGACCCAGAACCGCACAGCTTCATGGAAACTGAACAACTGGCTCTTGAATGTTGACTGGGTAAACA